GGGATGGACCCTGCCTGGTTTAAGGGATGGGGCTGCCCAGGAGATCGGCTCTGCCTAGGGCACGCACGGTCTACTCCTGACATTTCAAGGTTTTTCATTCATTCATTTGACTCCTCTGATTTTTTTTTTTTTTTTTTTTTTTTTTTTTTTGAAATCAGGGACCTCCCTACATGCTTCTCCTAAGCCACCATGCAAAGCTCCACCAGGATCCTCCAGGTGATTTCTTCCTAGCAGAGCTGTGTGTGTTCGGCAGGGGCTGCAGGAGTGGTGAGCACAAGGTGTCACCAAGGGGGAGCAGGCCCTGTGCCAGCCTCCAGTGCCCTCCCACTGAGAAGTGACTCTCTGGCACCGGCCCTGCTGACCGAGAGCCTGGGGAGCCCCACCTCTTCTGTGTTAGTCAAGCAGCCTTGCAAAGACTGAGGCAAAGTGTTCCACTGCTTCCGTCCTGTGGGCTGTTTGTGACTCTCTGTGGCTTGGATCTGGTCCTGCAAGGGGCTCCAGGAGCCTTAAAGAGCCGCTGCCCATACTGCTTCTGGGGAAGGTGCCCTCTCCTTTGGGTCAGACCCCTTCTCAATTCTGCCTGCAGGAGTCACCCAAACGGGGTCCAACCTGGGCGGCCCCCCTCCCCCTGCCCTGAGCGTCGGTCGTACCCACACTTCACATCTCATCTCAGGCGGGCCAGGGTGTGAACTCACGCTAAGGCAATGTCATAATCCATAGCGTTCCCTCTGAAAGTGCCACCTTGCTCTGTGCGCGCGCCAGGCGTGGGCATGCCCGGGCGTGGCTGCTGGGTGTGCGCAGGGCAGGCGGTCCCCTCAGCTGGACCATCCACAAAAAGACTCAGATCTGTTTCCGGCCCTTTTCTCAGGCTGTGTTCAGGGCGACTACGAAAGCCGTATCCGGCCCAGGTTGCAGATACCCCTTGCAGGGTGAACGGTGTTGGCACTGGCTGCTTCTTGGACAGGTGGACACTTCTCCAGACGTTGGGACTTGCCAGGAGGGGGGTGGACCAGATGCCTCCAACCTCCCAGGGCAAAGACAAATGGAACGGGAAAGAGCTAGTCTGGTTTTCCCTTAACCTAACCTTAACCATCTCCTCAAAGCAAGGTAAGGAAAGGTGGGTCCCCTTCACCCGAACCCAGGCGAGGTGGGAGGCAGCTGTCCCCCGGCCCTGCAACGTGCCTCCTCCGGCACTGGCCGTCCTGCCCCTTCAGGTGGGCCCTTGCCCCTTGGTGGGGACAGGTATTTAAAGGCGGGACTAAATATGGGAGACGGCGGCACCAAAATTACAGACAAGTCAAGCAACTTGCCCCCAAGGGCACCTCAAAGAGGCTCGGGAAGCGGTACTGGTCCTGAACCCCACCCTGTGGTCTCTGACCATCCTGGTCCTGAGGTCTACGTGGTCCCCAGGGCCATGCGCTCTCTCTGAAGCTTCTCCCTTTGAGCCTGGAGCCGCTAGTGGCTTAAGCATTCGTCATGCTCCAGATCAGTGCCCACTGTGGACTGTCAGCCTTGTGAGGCGGGCGCTGCCTCCGACTATTCACCATGGTACCCTCTCCAGGTCTCGGATCCCAGCTCAGACTGGATGTTCGAGACTACCTGGAGCCCACGAACGGACACACGAGGAAGGCCACAGCTCCTGCGGCTGAGTACTGCAGGTGGGACGGCAGCTCAGGCGGTGGGACTTCTAGGGTCGCTGCAAGATGACCCACACTTCCCCCGCCCCCCACCCCCAACAGCCAGGCAGGCGGAAGCACCGTGGAAGCACTGCCTCGTGGTTGGTACGTTTGCAGGTGGTCGCTCGAGAGCCCCGGCCGGCAGGGAGCGCTGGCCCACACTGCCTTCCTGCTGAGCTGGGTGGGCTCCACTCTGGGCTCCCTCTTCCCGCGAGGGCTGCTCCCTAACCCTGCAATCCACACGCCTCAGTATCTCTGCCTGGGGAGAACGGGTTCCCCGGGCTCAGGCTGGCTCTTGCCTGCCGGGAGGGCTGTGACGGGCGGCAGTGCGGGCAGCGTTCAGTATTCCCAGCACGACAGCCTCTCAAAGCGGCTGCTGGCCCTGCCTTCCTACGCGGAGGGGGATGGCTCAGAGCTGGCGGGACACAAACGAGGAGCGGACAGCTAAGGGAATCCTCTCCCCAAGACCCCATGGCAGCACAAGCCCTTCTGCGGTCACCGGCTGTGCGGCAGTCACGGGACATCGCACGGTCCTCCCGCCCTACAGGCCTGCTTTCGGTGCAACATGGAATGAGGGCCTGAGAAACGGGCTAGTCTGCTCAGATCCAGAGTGTTTTCTGGAAAGGCTTGTCTTTGAATTCAGTTCGCAGGCACTCTTCCCTGACGTTCCCTTGAGGGACTCTGGGCAGACGCTGCAGGCATGCCCCGCTGTATCCAGGCAGGTGACAGAGGAAAGCCAGGGGAAGGGGCCCCTGAGCTCACTCCTAGCCCCCCGTTATTCACCCTGTCCCCTTTCACCACGAGAGGGCTGCCCCCCGGGCTCCTAGGCTGCAAGCCTGGCCACGGCCTGGGCCAAAGGACAGCTACTTGCCCTCGGGTTCAAATAGCGTAATTGGCTCAGCTCTAGGCTATGATTTCTCACCCGCGGACAGAGTGTGTGTGTCTATGGGCTTGACCCTCACTGACTGCTTATTAAGTGATGCAAGCAGTGCTAATACCTTTGTGGCTTGAACGTGTGGCAGACGATGGTTTAATAAGTTCTCTGAAGGACACAGCCCTTTCCTGCCCAGGCTGCCCCCCCGGCAAGCAGCTGGAGGCTCTAATAGGACGCTGTGCGTGTGGCCATTCCTAGGGGTCAGCCTCACCCTCCCGAAACCGACTCTAGCTGCAGCCACAGCTACCGGGCTGCTCTTAGGCTCAAGATCTCTCTCTGAGGCTAGGTACCTTTGGTTTCAAAAACGGATTAGGTGGGGAGGACGAAGGCAGAGCCTTCGGTCTCTGAGAACTGCGGTCCGCGAGGGTCTCCATCTGGGGCCACGGGTGGCAGGGCACGTGTCGAGCGGCTGCTTCTGGTTCTGCTGTGATGCTCGCATAGGCCGCCCCGGTCTCCTTGAGACAGACGTTGCTGGAGGCTTCAAGGCTTGCAGGGAGGGGCTGGGAACCTGGGAACTGCAGGGCCGGAATCAGAGCTGCATAAGGCATACGAAGGGCGCGGAGTCCCCAGGCCAGGCTCTACAGCACTGTCAGCGCGGTGTTCCCGCGGGCTCTCCTGATATGTAAATACCCCAAGGAAAGGACACACTGGTTCAGTCTCAGGGGCAGCCGGGCCCCATCCACGCACCGTGTAAAACACCGGTTTCAGCATCGTACAGAATTGAGCGAGATGCTATCTGCTAGAGGCGAAAGGGGAGCACCACCTGTCACCCCCAAACACACCAGCAAAGCTTTTGCGTCACGTGGTCCCATCTCTGTGAGGACAGCGGTGGAGAGCCCCAACCAGGTGGCGGGGGGGCGCCCTCTGCCCTCCACGCAGCGGGCCAGATCCCCTCTCCCACATCCTGGGTTTCACTGATGGGGAGGAAGGATGTCGAAACCCAGTCCTTTTCTTCTCTCTGGAGGTGAGCCCAGCTCCCCAGGGACCGGAC